AAGAAAAAAAAAACAACATAATTTTCAACAAATGGTGCTGGTCAAATTGGATGGCTCCACATAGAAGAATACAAAACTCAGTTCCAAATGGATCAAAGTCTCATTGGACCTGCTATAAGAGAAAGTGATGAATAATCTTGATATCATTGCCACAGGATAAGACTTTCTGAACAAAATACCATTAGCATAGACACTAAGATCAACAAATAATAAAAGTGGACCTCTGCACAACAAATGACATTTCATTCAAACAGAGGAGCAGCCCACAGATGGGGGAAATATTTTTAAAACTATACCAGTGATAGATGGTTAATATCTAAAATAAATAAATAATTCAAAAATCTAGATAGCCAGAAAATAAATAACAATTTATAAATGTGGTACAGATCTAAACAGAATTATCAAAAAAGAAATTCAAATGGCTGAGAAACATTTAAAGAAATATTAAACACCCTTATGCAGTAGGAAAATGGAAATCAAAAGTATTGTGAGATTTCATCTTATACCTGTCAGAATGGCTAAAATCAGCGAAACAAGAGACACGTATTGCTGGAAAGGATATAGAGTAAGAGCAACACCCATTCAGTGCTAGTGGAAGCACAAAGTTGCGTGTACCAAGTGTGCAAATCAGCATGGTGCTTCCTAAGAAGATGGAAAGGGATCTATCCCAAGGTCCAGCTATATCACTTTTGTGCATATATCCAAAGGATGCTTGCTTCTACAGAAAAAATTTGCTCAATTACATTCTTTTCTGCTCTGTTTATTATATCCAGGAAATATAAACAACCTAGATTTCTCTTAAAGAAGAATAGATAAACAAAATTTGGAACACATATGCAGGGCAATATTATACTGCCGTTAAAAATGAAATCCTGTATGTTACCGGTAAATGGAAAGAACTAGGAAAAATACCTTCCTGATTGAGGTATCCATCCATTTATCCAGAAAGACAAATATTATATGTGTTTACTTCCATGTGGATATTAGCTGCTAAGTCAGTGATAACCAAGCAACAATATGTAGAACAACCGAGGTTAGGTATAGAGTATGGCACTACAAGGTTCAGACAGGAAAACGAATTAGAACAGACATTCATGGACATATGGAAGGGTGGGAATGTGAGAACTTGTGCAAAGTATAAGGGCAGAGAGGACCGAGGGAGAGGAACACAGGAAGCAACTGCTAAAATTAAAGGAATTTGAAGGATACTATAAAAACCTAATAGAGTAGAGGCTCCCTGAAATACATATACAAAGGCAATCTAAAGAAGTTGTCAAATAATAGGGGAGAAAGAGTACTAGCTGGCCATCTCTTGTCATCAATTCAAGTTTCCTGTACTGGGATTGGGTTACATCTAATTGAGTTGTTGATCAAACGGGCCCACAGAAACCTCCAAACAACCAAAGCTGTTTCTAAGACTATCCACAAACTGACAAGCAAGGCCCCATTGCTGAAGACAACAGCTTTCCAACTGATTGAACATGGAGAAGTCAGATCATACATCCATAGAGAGAGTCTTAACCCTTTTCTTCTAGCCTCTTGGGTACAGGAAGGTACTGGGTACACTACCAAAAGAGAAATGTAAACAGCAAGCCAGGTGCAAAACCTCTGATCTACAGTGGTCTATGGTCTTCGAGTTATGCAGGGCAATTGGGGCACAAAGCTTGTGGGACTAACAAACCTATATCTGATTTGCCTTATGGTGAGATGGAACCCATACCTGACACTGCCCGAGTGACCAAGGGCCATTGCCCAGATTTCCCAGAGATCTAAGGTAAAACCAAATTCTACTGTTTAACAAATTAGCAATACAATGATGCCTAATAACATTCTGATCTATACACATTGATCAGTACCTTGCTTCACCATCTTCAAAGAAGCTTCTTCCTTCAACAAGTGGGAACAATATATAGAAAGTGAGAGGCCTAGGAACAGCTGGCCCTAAATGGAATGTCTCTATAAAATCCCTCCTCTAAGGGTTCAAGGACTCCTATAAAAGAGGAGTCAGAAAAGGCAGGATCCATAGGGGATGAAAGACACCAAGAAATCAAGTCTCTCTAAGTCAACATGACCAAAGCTCATATGAACTCACAGAGACTGAGGCAGCATCTGCAAATCTACATAAGATCCTTGGAACACACACACACACACACACACACACACACACACACACACACGACTTTAGTTTTGATATTTTATGGTATTTCCAATTTGTGAAAGAATGGGTCACTTTCTTGGACTCTCCATTTGTGTCTTCTCCAACTTTGATAAAAACAAAAAACTTTCACTACATATAAAATCTTTTCTTTTTTTAAAACTAGCATATCATTGTAATTATATTTATAAAAACACTAGGATCATTAAACAAAACTTTATCATTTACCCAAAAAGCAAGATGTTTTGGAGCACTTACCAGATTGGAAATTATAACTGTTTCATAAATAAAACTACTTATTTTATTCTGTCAATAGCCCATGTAGACTCTCAAGGTGTGTCACACAAAATAATGAAGATGCCAGAGTAGGTGATGTCCTTGGAAAAACTAAAAACTGTTCTCCCAGATATGTTTGCAATCCTTTCAGTGTATGGACTGATTAGCCAACTAGAAGTACTATTTCAGTTTTTCCCTGTGTCCAAAGCTGGATGCTTATGGAAGAAAATAATATATGAAGTCTATAGAAACACAAATTATCTTCAAAATGGTTTATAGAGAAAATGCCAAGTCATGTGTGTGTATAAGAAGATGGGGTTAAAGAAACTGAGTGCTAGCCAGCAGGACACACAGAGAGAAAACAGGGCTGAACGGGTTATATAAGAAGATTTAGAACAAACTATCTGTATGTACTCATAAATACATTTAGGTATAAATATGTCAAGATATGTCTCATAATCTACTCTCTGGCTTCTCGTTTCTAAATTTGGGGGTTGAGTAAATCCCTTGTTTCTTGACCGGTTACTATTACCATTAGAACCTCAGGAAATAAAAGTGAAGTCATAACAGTATGGCAGATCGCTGGCATCGCTACGTGTCTTCAGGGGAAATTCCCTTTGAAGAGGGCTCTGAACTGTGTAAGAGAGGAGAAAGTGACTTGACAAGCAGTACAAATGCATCTACTTGTGGATGTCTACTCTTGATTATCAGTGTGCTGTGACTAGCTACTTCCATTGCTGCTACCTTCATGCTGCGACAATGGTGGACATTAACCTGTGAAGTAAAATAATTATAACCCTTTTAGTCTCTCAAGCTGCTTTCGTCTTGGAATTTTATCACAGCAGCAGAAAAGAAACTAAGATGATTTTCACACTATTGTTGTGTGGTAATCAATTTCTCCACTCTGACATTTCTCTACCCAAAGTCCATTATTTTCAAAGTTTTAATTATTAAACTTTACGCCAAAGACATAAATGAATGACTTTGTTAAAATGAAGTTATTTTTTAAAAAGAAATACTAAAGTAGTTTGTAGTAAGTAGAATTTATTCTGTGTTTTGAAAATGTATGGAAATAGACTTTTACTTCTGCAAAAATATCAAATTAATCTTGTTAAATCTATTTGGACACACTATTTTGTTAGAAATCCTTAATATTACTTAGTATTAATATTAACTTCTCACATTTTAAATTATTAAAAGATTCAGGATGATATGCTTATTCATTTTTTATATTCACTACCAGTAATGCAAATCAAATATCACAATAATAAACTTTTACAAGTGCACTTGTAAGGAAACATAAAATTAGATATAGTTGGCATTATTTTATTTCCTAATAAAAACCCATACTTTTCTCTCTGTGTATGTTTTCTAATTATTCAAGTTTACTAATACAATAAAAATAAAAACAGAAAACTCATAAAGAAAAAAGCATTTTAAAATCTTTGTTCTTTTTAATTATTGAAAGTAGATGCTTCTTTCATACAATTTACTGTACAATGGTTGCCCCTCCCCCTGCTCCTCCCAGATCCTCCCCATCTCCCTATCCACTCAAATTTTCATTCTTTCTGGCTTTCTCTCTTCAAAACAAAACAAAGAAAACAGCAACTAATAAATAAAGACAAGAAATAAAATAAACAACAAACAAATGTACAGAAGAACATAGGGGCAAGGCAAAACAAGAATGCAATAAAGACTAAGAGGTACATGCAGGGAACTCTCAGAAAGACACAAAGCAGTAAACTATAATATAAGAGCAAAAGGCCAATTGGATAATGAAAGAGAAAGAAGGAAAAATATGCCTATACAAAGCACTATGAGACAAAAATGCCTCCCAAAATACCACTTAGTTCATTTTGTGTTGGTCATTTACTGCTGGGCATGGGTCTTGGCCTTGAGAGTCTGTATGCTCAATGAGACTCCATTTGAGAAAACTAATGTTATCATTTGCAAGCAGTTATCAATTGGAAATAGCTTCTGGGAGACCTCCAGGGGAACAAGGCCTCCTAAACACAGAAGGGCTGAAGCACAGATGAGCTCACAGGGGCTGTGGCAACATGCACAAGGGTGAACAGGACTGGGCCCCACGGGGTCCCTGCTCTGTAAATCTTAAGCCATGACTTTAAATGATGTCTTTGAATCTTCACAAAGCTGCTACTTGAGTGGTGCCTCGAGGGGTAGGCACAATGCTTTCAGAAACTGAAAATAGGGTGAAGTTTGAGGGGAAATAGGGGTGCATGTGTCCATCTGGGGGTATTTATTTCATTTCTAGCATTTCAGAGTTTTAAGAGGAACTGGACACAAATCCCAGTTTGGGGGTTGTGTTCTACTTATTTCTAGGACCACTTTGAACTGTTGGTTGCTTTTCTTTGGTTTCCTGGTGACAGATCTGGAGAAGCAGAAACCAGAACACAGGTCTCTGGGAACTAATTTCCATGGGCATCAGTCAGCAGCATGAACAGAAAGAACGTAATTGATTTTGTGACAGAGTTAACAAAAACAATGTGTAACACGAGGGCCAGAATGCGAGCAATAGTGCGCCTCTGAGGAGGCGAGTTTGGTGTGTTACCTCCTGATTAGCTGAAGCTAGTTCCTCTTCCAGTGCAGAGACTCTCTCTAAAGAAACCCTCAGTCGCTCCCTTACCTAGAAGGAAAAAAAAATCAAAATATGTGCCGTAATGTGCATCCCAGATATACGAAACTATGGCGAAGCTGTCATTAACATAAGAGACAAATGGTCACATTCCTCAGGCATCTGTATCCCTAAAATCGCAGGTTCATACACCTGGCATGAGCATCATGAACACAGTGTCACCTCAGAGGTATCAGTGCATCAAGGGGATGTCCTTACAGCAAATACTTTTGTAGGTGAACTGGTAATCTTCCAGTGGGCTTGGAAATCAACTGGCCTTGCTCCAGTTTCTGATTCATAGTAAGTAGAGACCAAGTTCAAAAGCATAACCATGATATCCTTACAAAATTGTCAGTGATCAAGCAAGCAAAATAGGTGAAATATGTCTTTAAATGAATTGAAATTTTTTTTCTTTGTTGGCTTTTGGTGCCTAACTTCAAGGTAATTTGTTTAAAATCAAAGAGTTCTTGGAGAATGAAAACTGATTTGGATTTCTTTTGAATGACTATGAAGTGTTAAAATGATTTGGGAGTTCCCACCTTGTAGCCCTATGCCTCGGGAAAAGGCATTGTGTTCGGTAGAACAAAACACATTTTAGTTTGAAAACAGGGATGTCTTAAATGTGTTCCCTATATAACTGAGATTTACAGAACTGTTTCCTTGATTTATGTTTTCTGAAAAATTCTGAAGTTGAAACCATGTATGATGATGGCACATGCCAATCAATCCCCAACCCTTCAAAGCCTGTGAGCTGAAGGCCACATTGAGATATATAACAAATTACAGGCTAGCTCAGTCTACTTAGTAAATCCTATGTCAAAATAAATAAAAAATCAAACTAAATCAAAAGGAGAAAAAAAATTCCCAAATCATTGTATGCTTATACCAATAAGTAAACTTTATATTACATTTACCAAAGGCAAACTCCCCTGGGTAGATATTAACTTAATGAATATACTAGTTTAATTTACCTAAGAAATCAATAAAATATATATTTAAGACACAATACAGGTTTCTGATTTTTTATAAATTAATATATTTCCTATTTAAGCTTTATAGAAATTTTTCAATAAATATTCATATTGATACTATAGTTATATCCCTGAAAACTAATTTTACTATTTAATTGCCTGTGTATTTTGTCATATAGCATTGTTCTTAAATAATTAGGTTTAAATAGGAATATAAGCTAGATGTATAAATATATGAATTATATAAAATTTTAAAGTTGGAATAATTGCCTTGTTAATTATCTAAGACATAGGGCAAGTAGTTTTTATTTAATTTTAGGGCAAAACGTGAGTTGTAAAGGTCTCGAACATTAATGTTAAACATTCTGTTATGGTGGTTGTAAACAGTCAGCTGACTGAGTGTAATTTTACACTGAAGCATAGCCCTACTATAGTTTATGTTCTAATGTTTTATATACATATATATACACAAATATATATAATATATATAGAATATATAATATATACAAATATATATAATTTATATATATATATATATATTAGTAATACAAAATAGCCCAACATATAGGATTAAAATGATCTACACAGAATCTCTGTTTAGCTCTGATTGATTGCCATACCTCAGTGATTTAGACAAATATCAAATTATTTATAAGAATAGCAAGGAATAAATTATGATTAAAAACTGAAGTCTTTTCTGGTCTGACTCAGAGGAGTATAGAATATGGGTCTTACTAAAGGGGTCTAGTGTCCCTGGTTGATGAGACATCCATTCCTATTAGGGATTTCCCTGTATCAGTATTTGCCTTATTAGGGCACTCTCAGAATGCCACAGAAGGATTAAAGTACCACATTTTAACTGTTACATTTTAGCTGTTACATCAGAATGTTTCTCAGTTATTGTTGGGGTTGAATAAAGATTGCCTGAATAGAAGCTATAGTTTAAAATATCTTAACTATTTCTGTTAGCCTGACAATCTTACAGTGTCTTAGCTACTGATTTCTTTTACCACAAGTTAAGCATTTCAAGAAATAAAAGTCTTGAAGCCTATCAAGAAATGTGAGTAAGGAATTATTATTTTTCCATAAATATATGTGAGTTTTGACAAATAAGTACATATTAACCATAAATCAATAAATATAAAACTACCTTTATATAAAAATGAGCACATTTTAAATATAGTTTTAATTAATACTATGCAGGCAAAAATTTTTAACTGCCATTATCAAAAGAGAATGCCATAATAATATTGAATTATTCATTTTGCTTCTCTGTTTTAGACAAAATTTCAGCTAGTAAAATGTTACCTTTATTTACCACACTTTATAAGGAAAAGAAAGGGATGCAAATATGTAACCTGTCTATGGCTAAGAATTTGATCATGTTTACCTTATCTGGTTTACTTCAATTGTATAACAGGAAAAATCAATATGTATCACAATTTTTTCAGCTCTTTGTTCTGCCTCGATCATTGCACTGACAGACTATCATAATTATTTTTTAACAATCATTTTTCTTTGGATTATGTGTGCATGTATCTTTAGCCAGATAGATTTGAGAGAATTTTATCATTAAATTTTTGGTACAAAGGGAAGTATAGTAATTATTGGGTATGAGGCTTAATGTGGCTATTTATATAACCTGTGTTTTTATCTTCTTCAAATTTTTCATAGTTTTTGCATCTTATAACCAAAATGAAAGTGGGATACAGCTTCTCTTTAATAATCTAGAAGACAGAATTACTGTTATCCTTGTACAGACATTACATATGGCTCTCTGCTGTAAGAACTAGTTGAGAGACTGATAATAATGTATAAGTACATAAATATTGAGTGGAACTAAATTCTACATACTCAAAACCTAGGTATAATCTGGTAATAATTCCAAGCTTGAATTTTAATGCTTGTAACTTGTCATATATTTTACAATGAAGTGTCCTAATTCTTGATATGCTAAGTCAAATAACTTCTTTGAACTTGCACAAAATAGAAAATTACGTCATAAACCTTACTTAATCTCTAAAGGATATTATCTCCAGACTGCCTTATATTTGCCAGTTGCACTTATTTAAATAGCAGCTAAGAGAGGCTCAGAGCTGCTTCTGGGAAGACTGAAAAATGAGTTTTCCTTCTATTACATTATGTTGTTACTAGCAGAAACTGTCAAAATGTGAGCTTGAAACTCAGGTTTTAGCAGCACCCTCACTAGAGAGCCTTCGAATATAGATGTCTAACAGTTAAAGCATTCCCAGTTTGCAGTTCAAACTACAAGTGGCTTTTGTTACTGGACTTTTTTTTTTTTAATCTATGACATGTATGGACATACACATCAGAGGAACGGAGAGGGAGAGATGGTAGAGACAGAGCTAGAAGGACTGACCACCATTACACAGTACTTGAACTCTGGACCAGGGTGTAAGGATGTAATAGGGTCTAATTCTGACATTCAGTGGTATAAATAGAAGACTGTGGTCAAGAATATTGTCCATCCACAAACAGCCACTGGTTTTATGTTTGTTTGTTTGTTGGTTGGTTTGGAGCCTGTCCTGGAACTCACTCTGTAGACCAGGCTGGACTTGAACTCACAGAGATCTGCCTGCCTCTGGCCTCCCGAGTGCTGAGACTAAAGGCATGTGCCACCAACCCAGCCAGTCACTGGTTTTTAAATAATTTTTTTTAACTCAAAACTGTTCCTTAGACCTAAGTTACATGCTCATTTGTGTGAAAATAAGGAGTTTCCAGCTCATAATGAAAGCCCAGTTTGGCCTAAAAAATAGTATCTGTACTGTACCTTTTCATCCAAGGCCTTGTGGTGCTCAAACAAAGATTTCAGTGCCTTGAGGACCTCAACTTCACTGGACACTCCTGAGGGAGACTGGGCTTGTCGCTTCACCACCGTCATTCTTAGTGACCTTTCATGACGTGACACAAGACACTCCAAGTGCTCCAATAACAGCTGTTGGATCAATAGAAAATGAAGTAGTCTTATGAATACAGCTGACCAGCAATTTTTTTTGTGTGTGTGAACTCTAGCTTAAACTATTACAAGTTTTCACAATACCCATGATAACCCTAGGGAATGCAATATGGGACAGAAATAAGCACCTACTTGGTTAAGTAAAGGTTTATAAAACACATTAAAGCCAAACACATGACTGCAATAAATCACTGAAAAGAAAGCAATGCCATGCATTCTTCTAACACAATGGTTCTCATGTGAGAACCTAATGCTGAGAACCTTTAGTGCAATTCCTTGTGTTGTGGTGACATCTAGCCATAAAATTATTTCCATTGCTACTTCATAACTGTAATGTTGAATCACAATATTAATATCTGTGTTTTTCCGGTGGTCTTAGGTGATTTCTGTGAAAGGGATCATTTGAACTCCAAATGGGATAGTGACTCATAGGTTGAGAGCATCTGTTCTAATAAGTATGACAACTTAGTTATGAAATACTAGATAGCATTTATTCCTTAAATAAATACAATTGTATAGTATTTTAATGTAATATTAAAAATTAATATTATTCCTTTGAGAACTGCTTTTGGAAAATGTCACAATATTGACTTTTTAAAAAGTAGTTGTTTGTTTGTAGCAATGTAAATGGCACAAGAATGATATCATTTTATGCATTTAGATAGCATCCTTGTGATTCTTTGTGTACCTGCGTAGCACCTCAGGTACCTACACAAACGTGGAAATACATGATGAATTTTTAAAGTGAAGGCAGATCAGTGTCAAAAGTTAAACATGCACTCTTGGTATTTTGTGTTAAATCATAAAGGTTCAATCTAATCATTATCATTATAAGAACAGGCATGAGTGTTTCAGTTAGATGATGCTCATGAAAAACCAAACTATATGATTACATTTCTCCCTAAATGTAAATGCAGTTCTGTAGATTCAATTAATATTTGTGAATCTGACATTGCCTTGTGTCAGTGTAGGAATAAGAACTCATGGGAAAACGTTCACTTGATGAAGCATAATGAAGTATTGTTCTACTACCAAAGAGAGCTGTCTTTAGAGACCTCCTAAATCTCATCACTCTGTATTCTTTCGGAAAGTTCTACACACTGCAATTCTACTTTCCCAACACAGAGTGCGCACACATTTTTGTTTGTTTGTTTTTAAAGACAAGGTTTTCCTGTGTAACAGCCCTAGTTGTCCTGGAACTTGCTCTGTAGATCAAGCTGGCTTCAAACTCATGGAGATTCTCCTCCCTCTGCCTCCCTAGTGCTGGGATCAAAGGCATGCATCCCCCCAGATTTGATACATGAGCAGAGCAAAGGAATCTCAAGTTTCTACTGACCTGGAGAAACAAGTCAGTTTCCTCATCAGTTTTTGCCTGGAGTTTCTAGACTTGAGTTCTAAAAACTCAGACTATATACACTATTTCCCTTAGCAGTTCTACTAAGAAAACAAGAATTCTTACTTCCTATAAAAGGTAACTGTCTGTTAAAGGTAACTGCAATGAATTTTATTTTCTAAGAGCACATTAACACTCAACTTATTTGGTTCTACTGACTGTTTAACTTGCTTATAATTATCATATGCCATGGCCTGGTCACTTCCATTAAATTTCTTAGCTTTCTGGTTACTTCAGTTTCCTCCCAACATTACCCCATTCACAATTTATGGTGATATTTATTATTCATTGAGATGCTTTTTCCAATATTTACCCTCCAAAACTCTAAGAGTTATGTATTCTTAACAATCTAGATTTCCTGTCTACTAATTCTACTAATTCACATCTAATGATTTCACTAGAGACTCTACCATTACCAGTAAGTGCAACTCTTCCATAATTGAAATGCTACCCACTAAGTCACAGATGACTGTATTTCTAGTTTGGCCTATTTATATGTTTGACCTCAAAAAAAAAAAAAAGAAAAAAGAAAAACAAACAAACAAAAAAACTGCTCACTCTCAAGTCTTGTACCACAGGGATTTGTTATGTCATGCTCACACTCAGTGAACCACACCTTACATTTTACATTCCTCTTTGCATACTCATTCTTTATGTGTCTGTCCAGCTCCAGAATTCAGCCACCTGCAAGTACATCCAATGATGCCACATGTGCTCAGGACTCACTTATCTCCTCCTGAATGAGTGTGATAACAGCTTATTAACTGGAACTCACATTTGTATCCTCCCATTCATTGGGTTATAATCCAAACCTCTAAAATGAGCTAGTTCTACTCCAGTAACTCCTTACCTCTTCCTTCCATAGTCTCAAAAAATTCTTTGGTTCCCCATGTTGGACTTGGTGATATTCTTAATCTGTTCCATTGTCAAATCCCTATCTGTGATGAATAGATATACATAACTTGCCTATTTAATATCAGAGGAATTTTATGAATAAAAATGTTTTGTGATTTTCTGTATTCTTAGTTGCATAGAAATGTTAAGCTTGTTGGTATATTTCTATAAATGTCCATTATAAGTTTTGAAAATTTTATCATTATATAATCATGTATACTATTAGTTTACTGGTTTGCCTCTATTTACTTACTTGGGGAGCAGATAGCTTTAAGAACAAGTTGAAATTTGAACTCTTTCATTAACTTAATACTGAGGACTAGGCATTTCTTTGGTGACAAAAATTCATGAACAAAAATTCCAGTTTTGACTAAATAAATGCACTATTTACTGAACAGCTAATGAAATGCATTAAAAGTGAATTACAATATTTAAAATGAACTCCTTGTGTATCAATTATTATTTGGAGTCACATACAAATGTGTCAATTCTGAAATATAGGACCCAGGATCACTAAAGCAGCAGATTATGTCCATATTACTTCCCTCACAATTATGCAGCTTTTAGAGATGGTGAAATTGCTTTGGGGCTATGATGGGGCATCCATGCAAACCTTTAGAAAAAAACCATCAGCCCTTAACTAGTGTTAAATGCTACATTTGCATTATTATAAGTTTGTATATTTAACTCCATTTGTCTATCACAGTAATTGTGATAAAGGATATAATTCATTTAATTATCTCAGTGCAGACTGCTTTCTGATTTGACATTTTTGTTGATAGTCCAACTTCATCATCATATTGAATAGGTCATTTTCTGCATTGTCTTTTTGTGTTATTTGTTTCAATTCATAAGTAGAGGCTAACTCATTAATGTGGAAAAGTCCAAACGTTTATCAGAACCCCAGAAATCTGAACATTCTTTTCCAATGAAATTCACAACTGTACAGTCAGGGGTTCTTTTGTTGAGAGAAGGAAGTTTGTGTTGTCTTTCTGCTTGGTTTCTAGTAGCAGTGTGTAGGTGTTCATACCAACACTATAACACAGCATCTAGTATCTGAAATACTATCATATGTAACTATATCAATACATATTTGATATGGCATTTAGGTGAAGAGGAAGAGCTGCTTGAATCTCAGAGCTGTAGCTTTATTTTTGTTTTTGATGGGATCAAGGAACTATGCAGTGGTTATACAACCTAAGAAGTCATTATATTATCAAGATTTTATATTCCATAAGATTCAGAAATCTGTTTGCTTTGAACTAATGAATGGCAAAATCTATTCATTGTTACCTCTTTAAGGAATACAGAAAAATTTTGTGCACCTTTGTTAAGTATCGGTAGCTATCAATCTTATTTCTAATCAACAACTTCATTGTTTTGGTGGTGGTGTTGTCAGGAAAGCTTTGTCTCCTCTCTGTTATCTTAGCAGGTATGTCAGGATAGCTGCCCAATCCTTCTGAACTTTTTCAGAACAAGGGCCAAATGTGTTTGTGCACTCAGGGAGTTTACCATGTTCAAAATCTTGTGGCTACTGAAACAAATTACACTAAATCCAGTTACACTTAAAACAAATGGCATATGTCACACAGCAGGGTGTTGACTCTTAGGCAATGTTTCATCTAAGCCATGATAAATCTTTGAGATCCTGTGTAGGTATAATGTGGGTAGTTCTCCCAGTAGATTCGTGGATCTGTGCCAATGGTACAGGCTCGGCATACATTGTATTACCTCTCCAGTCCTCTGCTATTTTAGTGTGTGACCTTAGAAACATTTGACTTGCTTTGTCTTTAACGTGGGGAAAAACACAGTATGTTCTTCACATGGTTGTAAAATGGAATAAACAAATGAAGAATGAAAAGACATGGATAGATGTACACATGTAGGTGACAAAATGATCTGATGCATTTTTAAATGTGAGAATTTTCCCGAAAATGAAACAAAAGGTCTTCGATTTCCTTAATTCCCATGTTTATTCTCCTACCCCCACATCTGTCAGTGCTCTTCAAAATAACAGGACAGGGAGAACAAACAATATGGTGGAAATAGGTAAAAGAAACGCAGTACTATTTTAAGAATCGAGAGGGGAAAAAAAAAAAAAAACACGCAGGGAGCAAAACTGTTTTTTTCTGCACATGATCCAAACTGTTCTTGCCATGCTGTATTAGAGGAAATCCATGTGACCTGCTCATCAAAGCTGTGATGAAAACCAATCACCATGTGCAATGCACACGTGTGAATTCGTTTCACCACACAATCAGAACCTGATGAGTAAAGTGAGTTTGATGGTATAACCCTCATGTATGCAAGCCCGCCTGTCACTGGAGGTGCAAGCAATGTCTGCGGAGCTGCATCTGCATAACACTGTAAGGCCAAGTGCAAAAATAAGTTGGCTACTAATCACACTTGATAGGCAGAGGTTCAGCCCAGGAAGACTATGGTACTTAATAAAATTTTACCTTCTTAATGGTAAAATTGCATTCATGACCGTATGAAAGTGGTTTCTCTTTCAGTTAGCTATGACATTACATTAATTTGTGAGTAACATAATTAGTTATGTATTCTGCAAAATTCAGTAACATTTTATTCTGGTCTATAAAAACATACATTATCTTCAATCTAATTCTGAACTTTATTCTTACATGGCACATAATCAGACTGACAATGTACAGGAATTCCCAAGAGGAGAATGAAGAAAGTATCTGTTTTATCACACGATAGAATGCTGATAAGAACTATCAACATCTAAGACATCTAATGGAATAAAGGTGGTAAACTTCTTTTAACTGGTAGCGGCTGACTCAATAGCTTTATTTTTAAATAAGTGCTTTGCTAGAAGGAAATGTGAACCAAATGCAGGCCACTGCAATGTTGAAGCCCATCCCTTACTCTCCTTTTAAAAGACATTTTTGCAGGGCAACATAGTGATTTAGCAGAGACTATAATTTTGGTTTCCTTTCTTTTTATATTGGGCATTATACCATGTCTCCTTCTTTTTGAAGTAACTGACTGTGAATTGGAATCCGCTCAAAGTACTCATAAAGTTTTTGCAAGTCTTTAGATGTATGTACTGATATACGCAGTAGACGATTTACAGATACCAAAAAAAGAAAACTTAATATTTACCCTTGTGTTATTTCTTTCAGCTTTCAGCTCCGAGATCTCTTCTTCCTTTTCTAGAAGTTGTTCCCGGCAAGCATTAAGTTCTTTAGTCAGTGCAGCAAATTCCTGGAAGAGAAATAAAAATATTTGAAGACATATTTGAAAAAGAAATAAACCTCAAATAGGAGCAACATAATATAAGACAAACTTTGAATGATTAAAAAATAAGAAAAAACTCATAGTTGGCTGGCCAAGGAACAGTGCTATCACTTAAATATCCTGATTCATGGTTCCAATAAATACTAATAGGTGACATTTATCTAATCCATACATTTGTAATTACCATGATATGGTTTCATGTTTATCAAATACATGTGTTTATTAATCCCATATGTCATTGAACTTAATGTTAGTCTAAGTATCATTAGAATACTTTGAATAAATTTGTGATGTAGTTATATAAACTTAGATTGATTCACTTATAGTTAATAACATAGATCACCATCACAACACACACCCCTGATGAACATGGTATTATTTAGACTTGTAATGCAAACAGATGTCACACAAATTAAATAACCACCAAACATTTTAATACTTTTCTTCCAACATTTATCTCCATCTACTGTTCCATTATTACCGTTGTTAGGAAATGAGAAACATTGTTTTATAAGGACTCTGGACCAACAGCTAGAGAGCCTTTGTGAGACTGACCTAGTCCCCTCTGCATGTGCCAGGTATAGCTTAGTCTGTTTGTAGGGACCCTAGCAGTGGGGTTGGACCTGTGATTGGCACATGAGCTGGCTCTTAGGAACATATTCCATATGCTGGGATGCCTTAACCTGGTTCTGCTTCAAATTGATGCTTCATCCTTCCTTGAATCCTGCCCCTTTCTGAAGAGAGGAGGAGTGGATGGGCATAGAGGATGAGTGGGGAGTAGATGGGAGGTAGGTGGAGGGAACAGCAAGAGAGGAGGGAAGGGAAACTGTAGTTGGTGTGTAAAATAAATGAAAAAAAAATTAATAAAAAGGAAAAATAAGTACCACATTGAACCAAACAGAGTTGCAATGACTGAATTCCTATAAACGCAAGAACTTCAAGCAATTTGTGTTTTATTGTCTCGTCAAGTTTTCATGACCTAGTTAGCACTGTCAAAATGACACAGCCTAGAAACAACTACAAAAACATCTCAATATGTAATGGTCTTTAACAGGGTTGTCTATGAGCATATCTGCAAGGGATTGTCTTCAATGGTGTAGACGGGCCCTTGGGAAGGTTCTGAACTATGTATGAGATGTAGTAAGAATAAATGTAACAAGGAGTCCTCCTTCCTCCCTGATTTCTCCCTGGTTCCTGCCTTGACTTCCCTCAAGGAGGGATCATGACCTAAGAGTTGTGAGTTCAAACAAACTCTTATCCCCTTAAGTTGTTTTAGTCATTTTTTTTTTTTTTTACAGCAACAGAAAGGAATGTTGAAATAAACCTCCAATTTTATAGTGGCCACATTACAATCTGTTCTGCTAATTGGGCGAAGGCCTAGAGATTGGAAAAAAAAAGAGACAAGACAGTGGGTCACTCGTTCCACACAGATACCAGAATGCCGAATGCCGTTTATTGAGGGGAAGGAGCGGGCTTTTATACTGACGCACAGCACAGTGGAAAATGACCCAGGGTCAAGACTGTAAGTTTTCAGGCTCAGCTCCTCCCTAGCAGATGTGTGTTAGCAAAATAGGAACAACGGGAAGAGTACCAGTAACAACTCTGGGCCAAGATGTTCCAGCCAACGGTTTTAGGCTTGCACAAGGTGCCTCAGGGGCCACGCAGGGCCCTACATAATGAGACATGAAAAGTTCAAGGAGACTTCCAGAACTTAGATTATGTACAAAAGGAGCATACGGAATCACTGCTGGAGAGGGGTGTGCCCTCTTCGGATTCAAGCTTTCTCCTTCTGTCTTTCCTTTAATCTGTAAAATTTACTTCTTTCCAAACTCACAAAACTTTAAGAGGCTTCCACTTCCAAAAATGCCACCTTTATGGTTTTTAAGTTTTAAAATTCAAACTATACAAAATGAAAATAATTCAAAAAATGTGTTTGTTATGAATAAACATTTGGACTACCATTTTGAGCAGTAGGTATCTTGATTTGCTTGCTGTGCTTGGAGTCAGATACTGCATGAACTGTCTTATAGATTGCCTGTCTTAGTATATGAGTAGCAAAGCTTGATGATAGTGATAAATAACCTAATAAATGTATAAGACCCTACAATGACCCATTATAACCCCCAAAATCTATATTTCTGATGCCCTGACTCTAGCCAAAGATGAAAATTATCTTGTGAAATTTTTCACTCAGTTTTACCAAGTGAATCATCTCTTCATGCTTTCAGGAATTCTTTCATGCATGCATCCATGCACCATGCAGGCATGTACCCATCCATCTGTACCTCAATGCATATATTTATTGGCTACCACCTGCCTACCATAGTCTATGTTGAATACTGAAGTAGTAAAGGTAACAGGAAAGTTTTATTTCACTTTGCCCTAACAGTGTCCAAAATTCATGTTTGTGTGATTTTTATCATTAGTACCCATTGCCAAATTGTCACACCAGTACTAACATTAGTTATTACCATTGGGTACTGTGAAGCTGCAGGTGATACTGAAGCCCTCGCTTCAGAAGATTTACAGATTTTACCTACCATTGAGTCTTTCTGTTTCTACTTCTATCTACTTTTTCAAGTCTATTTCAATCACTATCTTTTAATTAACATTTTCATTTTTAAACATCACCTTGCCTTGTTAATGCTCTGCTATCCCTCATTGTATTTTATGGTAATGTAATATGACCATTTAAGACAGAGTTTCTTTCCTAGTATAATTTTTAATAAGCAAAAATAAATATTTGTTGTAAGAATGAATCAATAATAACCTTTTCTTACAAATTTGTAAGTAATGGAGTACTATTTAAGATATTAATTAGCTACACTTCATTTTCTTAATAAAAATACATTTCCCTTAATACAGAAGAAATGGTAATAATTTGCCTTTTTTTTTTTTTGTATTTTTGTTGTTAACTGATGTTTACCCTATACAGAAATGACATTACTGTCTGCTATATCTTATTTCATGTGTTTAAGTGATGTAGTAACTATCTGGAAACTTTCAGAATTCAAGACAGTGTTCAGAAAAATCACCTTTGGTTTTGATAGCCTCTAAAAGTAGATGTTCAGTGTTTCTAATAGTAAGTAGTAGGCCAGCTCTAGTGTTAACATTCTTTATCATGCCAACATAGTGTCATGTTTGTGCTGAACATGAAAAACATGAGTGCAAATGAGAACCATGTACTTAAAGAGTCAAGAAGTGAAAAACGATAATAAAACTAGTCTCTATTATTTAACACATTGAGCCTACTGCACTTGGTAGTTCCTTCGTTCAGATCTAGCATTTTCTAATTGGCAACATCACATTGGTCATACTCAGAAAGCATAAATATGACCCATATTTTATTTCTTTTCTCTAGGGTATCTAAAACCATATTATTTAAAATGTTTATACACAATTCCAGGAAGAAAGTCCACAGCCAAATCGATTTGAGAAATAATAAACGCTATATAGTTTGCCATTAGAAATCTATAAATGTAGTGCAAATGGTAATGATTGTGAGCCAAATTTTTGTGACCAAGAATTGCCAGCAGTGTACAATTATAGCTACAGGAAATTAATAAACTAGTATAGTAACTCAACGTGTTGGCAACTTATGCCAATGCACAATGCATAGGTCAGATCATCACTTTAAAAAAGAAGTATTCAAAACTATAGCATGTGGCAGATATTATTAGAAAGTGAAGTCAATGAGGATAAATGCTAAAACTTTGTTCACATTTTGGAAAGTCTAATCAAAGCAGTCTGTAGGAGAAGCTGAACTTTCTCTAAGGGATTGAGATACAAGGAATAGGTCCCTTGAAGCAGAAACACCCAATTCTCCAGACTATTTATTTTGTTCTCTAACCATAATTTGGAAATTTCTTACTTTTCCAATAAACAGAATTATTTTTGTTTAGTCTACGTTTTTCTTGGAATTTTAAAGAGTGGTTAGAATCTACAAAAGCCAATGCCATGAAATACCCTCAGACTAAAGGGAATGGAACCGTTTCTGTCTTGGCATCCCTTACGCACCTTACACACATTCCTTTGAACATTCAGTAGGTGCCACAGTGGTTTATGTGCTGCACTACAACATTAAAGAGAAAGTTGCTACAAAGAATATGTTTATACACATCCAGCCACTTACCCTTAGTAACATTTTATCTGATTGAAACCATATTCTATTCTTTTCTCCACAAAGAAGACTCATGATATAGAGTGTCATTTAAAAAACAAAACAACAACAAAAAAACAAAAAAGTAACTTCTTTCCCATTAATGTCTTTAAATAACTGAGGGTGGCATTTCTAATATGCCACTACAAGCCATGCCATTCCTGTGTATTAACACTTTTAAGACACGTGTCTCTGAAATCATACAAAATATAAAGGGCCTCCATCAGTTAATTTCTCTAGTTTGCTATCTCTCTGCCCTAGCCTCTACAATTCTCTTACATTATTTATTTTTATAGTAGCTTTATTTTTAAACTAGAAGACCCCTAAACAATGCTGTACCTATTATATTATTTACTCATCATGGATGCCTTATTTTTACTAAGAACACAAATGAGAAAACTTGTACAAAGTAAATTGGAGGTAGTAACTCTAGCCAGGCCCATGTGAGGATGTGGCAGGATCAGCAAGTATCAGCAGTAGCATCAACCTCCCTAAGTCTGTGAGGTGTCAGAGAAAATATCACCTATTGCCGTTAAATAAGGATCAGGATAAAAAAATAGGCCAAATAGATATTTATTCAGGGAGAAATAACTTACAGCCTAGACAGATGAACATCAGCAATTTCCACCGTATGCTCTCCTATCCGAGTCCCGCCAGCAAGAGAGCTTTTCCTGGCTCTTCCTCCTACTTCCTTCCACAGGTCACTTCTGCCCATGGCTCTACCCCCCAATGCACGTGGTCAGTTCCACAGACTATCTCAATACAGTCACCTGCTTTGGGTCCTAATTGTGGTATCATTTTATGAATT